TGCCCAAACCCCCAAATTACGCCAAAAAAACTAGAAGACCCCACAGCCGCTCGGCAGCGTTCCATACTCCAAAAATGACCGCCCCCCCACCCACATGGATCGAGGAATAATTTAGATTCTTATTAGCACTAATAAGCGGCGCGCAAAAACCTAAATCGACCTCGCCGCTCGCTCCCGGTTCGACTTCCTCGAATGGTGACTCTTGCAAAGCGATTGCAGGTTACTCGCCTCCAGCTCCAACTCCGGTGCGTCCTGCCTCGGCCTGATGTGGTCCACCTCTTCGACTGCCCTGATTCTTCCAACCTTCAGGCACTCCACGCACAGCGGGTTTACTGCGACGTGCGCCGCTCTCAACTGCCGCCAGCCCTGCGTATCGTAGAAGCCGTCTCGCTCTGCTGGCTTCCGCTTGCGTCCTGTCCTAGCACACCCAACGCAGCGCCCTTGCTTCAACTGCTTGCAGCGTGGGCAGCGTGTCTTAGGTGCTTGGGCCATCACTTCACCACCAACGTCCCAACCACCTTGATCGTCTGGCTGTCCGTCGTCGTGAACGTCGCAGCCACCTCATACGTTCCCGTTGTGGACACAGCAGACAGCGGCGCGTGGATCTTCCGCTTGCCCGTGTGCAGCCTGATGCTCCCCACTGTGGCGCCCGAGTCGCTTACCGTTACGCTACTGACGCTCGCCACCGTGGCGTCGAAGTAGATCACGCCGGTTACGTCAAAGCAGATGTCGGCTGCAAAGCCGGTATTGACGGTGATGCGGTTGGATGCTGACGTTCCCGAGCCGCTGCGGGGGAAGCGGTAGGTGTAGCGCTCGTCCACATCCTCGGCGGTGACCGTTCCGCTAGTGTTCAGCTCCGCAAGCGCCGTCTGCACCGCCCGCATGACGCTAGTGGCCCCGTTCTCTCCGCCGATCACATCTACCGTTACGCCGCTCGTGGCCGACACCGCCTGAATGAGCACATGGTCCGCATTGGTTTCCGCCTGGCTGAGCGGCATTGAGTATTCGCCGCTCCCTAGGCCGGTGGCCGTGTTGGTGGCTAGCGCCGTTGCACTGCCGCCGTCCTTGCGTATTGTGGCCGTGATGTTGGCGGCGTCGCCGTCCAGGTTGCTGCCGGCCGCGTCATACGCCCGCAGCAGGACAATCTGGCCGGTGGTGTTCTTCTCCAATGCCATCTATCTACCTCGCGAGCGACATGCGGCGCCGCCTAATAAGGATGGAAGGTTCGCCCAGCCAGTACCGGCTGGTCACCGTGAGCGTGTCTTCGTTGGCTATCGCCGTGTAGGCGTCGTCGTTAGAGGCGAACGTGTAGGCTTTGCACTGGCCGTCTGAGCGGTCCGTCGCGATGCCACGCACGCCGCTAGACAGCACCGCCGCGTCCCCGATGTCGCTGGCGTCGTCCACCTGGCACGCCAGCAGGTGCTGCGGGCCGAGGATGCCGAAGCCCGTGCCCAGCGTCTGGTTCGTGCCGGCCTGAGCCTGCCCGGTGACCGGGACCGGCTTGGCCGAGTTGGACGCCGCGACAAGCGATGCGCCGCCGTTGAGCGGCAGGTAGTCCTGACCAGCGAGGGTGAGGCCGTCCGGGCCGGCGGCGCCCTGCACGATGCCCACGTACTCGGTGCCCATCTCTACGTCGCTACGGACGATCTCCCGCGTAACGTCGATCTGCCGGTGCCCGCGGGGCTGGTAGGTCCAGCCGTAGGTCATCTCGATGCACTTGGTCGCCGTGCCGTAGAAGTACACGTCGGTGACCGCCTCGATCTCCAGCAGCGCCCCAACGAACCTGTCGCCCGCCGCGGCGCCCGCGTAGTCGACCGGGGTGCTGTCGACGCTGACCACCAGGGACGTAGCGTCCGACTCGTACCCGTGCGTGCCGGTCACGAAGTTGGCGGGAGGCGAGCCGATGTCCTGCTTGGGCTTGGAGGCGTACTCCTGGTTGCCACTGCCACAGAACGTGCTGGCCGCCGTGTCGAAGATGCGGTCGGTTGAGATGTCGCCGGGGCTGCTGGAGTTGAGCCCGGAAATGCTGATCTCGTTGATGAGCGTGTCCGACGACGAAGCGTTCTTCTCGGCGCCGCCATAGATCAGCACCCAGTAGGTGCCGTTGGTGAGCCCGGTTGCCAGCTCCCAATCCGCGATGGTCTGGCTGGCCGCGTACATGTCGATTGAGTACCGGCCGCCCGACTCGGTTAGGTCGGAGCCGTTGGGCGTCACCGCGTCGCCGTTGGCGTCGAATATCTCGACGTAGACGATGCCGCTGGAGCTGGTCTTGGCCGCGTACCACAGGATGCGGTCGGTCTCGGTCACCTTGTAGAGCACGAAGCCCGGCTGCCGCAGTCGGTAGCCGCTGTCCGAGCCGATGGTCACGGCCGACCACCAGCCCCGCCGGCCCTCGGTGTCGTTGCTGAGCCAATCGCCAACCGGGTCGGTCGCCACCAGGCTGTGGTTGTAGATCCGGTCCGTGCCACTGCCCGCGCGGGTGCATCGCACTGTGTAGGTGCCGGCCGGCAGGTGCTGGGCCAACGGGATACGGCGGGACAGCAGGGAGCCGCCCTTGCAGTCGACCGTCCGCGTGTCGCCGCTGCCGCCCACCATCCAGTCGTCGTCATCGATTGAGCCGCCGCCTAGGGTGATCGTCACATCCACGGCCGAACCAACCGTGCCGTTAAAGACCGACCGCCACTCGATGCCGCCACCTTCGGGCACGGCAATGGAGTATTCCACATAGGCGCCGTCAGTGCTGCTGTAGTAGTGGTCGGTCACGCTGTCGACGGTCACCGGGCCGGTCCAGGTTCCGTTGGTGGTCGCCGCGGTGTGCGCGATGGTCGCCGACTCGCTGGCCGTGGGCGTCTCGGTGTCGGTGACGGTGGATGCCATCGACGCCGGGCAGGTCGCGAGCGATCCCAGAATCAGCCGCGGGGCGCCGGCGTTGGAAGGGTTCAGCCGGTTGGCGTGGTAATACTTCTCCCAGTTGACGCCCGTAGCGTCCGCGGGGACGTAGACGGCGAACTCATCGTAGTCGGTGCGCAGCTTGACGATGCAGACCTCGTTGGGGAACGAGCTGCGGGGGTTGGTTCGCTGGGCTATGGCGTAGTAGTCCGGCACGGTTACCTGCAAGCCTTTCGCTCGATGTCGACGCAGTGGGGCTGGTCGTAGCCCGTGCCCTGCACGCGGAATTTGATGGGGACGGTTACGCCCGTGTCTGGGCCTGCGGCTGTGGCGACCACCGAATACACGTCGCCGTCCGCATAGAGCCTTCCGTTGACGGTTGCGGCCCCTTCATCGGTTACACTGCCAACAGTCACCCGGCTTGTGTTGGTCGACTCCGCAGTTACGGTCAGTGGCCCGTAGAGCGCGGTAGCACCGTTAGCCACGAAATAGACCGTGATGTATCTGCCAGTGGGGCCGGCGAGGATGTGTGCCACGGTCTTACCTCGTAAAGTCCACAACTTCCGCGTCGGCTGACATACTGAACACGGTCGCGTCCGCCTGGAATCTCACTACGGTTACGTTTCTCGAAACAATCGTTGCCGGTTCGCTCGGCGTCTCATCACCAAAGTCAAAGGCGTCTTCGCTGAATGCGTCAGTGCTGAATGCGTCGCTGTCAAAGGCGGCCACTACGGGTTCCCCCGGAACTTGTCAGCGGTAACGCCAGTGCCGATCAGCGGCGTCTCGTTCATGTGCGTGACGTTCACATTCCAGATGGACACGCCGCTGTTGTTCCAAACGGTTTCATTCAACAGAGCCGTGCCCACGCCGGGCTTGCTGGCCGGGTCGTATTCGACGGCCAACAGGTGATCCAGGTGGATCGCCACCAGGGCGTCGTTCACCTCGCTCTGCGTTTCGGCGTCCCAGGAGCTATTCCAGGGGATGGCTGACAGCCCGGCGCCAGCGGCCCCAATCTCGGCCGTGTCGGTGAGAATGCTGCTGACGTTGGTGGCGACTGTCGTAAGCGCCGCCGCCGTCGCCGGTGCGTAGTTGCCCTGCGTGGTCGCCAGCGTAACGCCGTCCGATCCGGTGATGGTGTCTAGGTCCGCCTGCGCGGTGGCGAGCTGCGTATCCAGGTTGGCGGAAGCCAGGCCGATGGCGGACCGCACGTCCGCCTGCGTCAGCCCCGAGCCGGCCACGCCAACGTCATTGACGGTCTTGGTGGTCGTGGTGTCCAGGTCGTAGAAGAACGAGATATTGTCCGCCAGGTTGCCGCCCGTGGTTTCGGTCAGGGCGGTTCCCTTCACGCTGCCCAGGTCCACCTCGTCCGCTGACGGATCGAAGTAGCTGCCAGACGCGACCGTGCGGGCCTCCAACTCGGCATTGGTGGGGCCGTCGTAGGCGTTCAGGGCGTCCGTGGCCTCGCTCTGAATCTCGGCGTCCCACGCGGAGTTGTACGGCACGGCGGTTAGCCCGGCGCCCGCCGCACCGATCTCCGCGGTGTCGGTCACGATGGCCGATAGCTGCGTGTCGAGGTTGGCCGCCGCCAGTCCCACCGCCGCACGAACGCCCGCCGCGTCCAGGCCGCTGCCGCCGCCCACGTCGTCAACCGTGTTGGTGGTCGCCGCGTCGGCGTTGTCGTAGAACACCGAGAAGTTGCCCGCCAGGTTGCCGGCGGTCGTCTCGGTCGGCGCGGTGCCCAGGATCTCAACCACGTTAGCGCTGACCGTGCCGCTCACCGTGGCGGTGACTGTGCCGTCCACCGTCACCGTGCCCTCAACCGCCGACGGCCGGTAGATTTTCACCGTGTCCCCGGTCGCAATCGTGAACACGCCGGGGTCTTCGTCCAGCACTACGTCGGCGCCCGTGCCGGTGTAATCGCTGATGACGCCCGAGGCTACCTGCGTGCTCGTGCTCTGGTCGATGATGAGCACGGACCAGCCGTTGTAGGCGTCGTCGTCGGCCGAGCCGGTGGTCAGGCTGAACGTGGTCTGGTTGGTCAGCCCGTCAATCGTGGTGGTCAGAATCGCCGGGTCGCTGCCGCTGGCCGCGGTGTCCAGAATCAGGTCGAGCCGCCCACCATTGGCCCAGTCGGTTTGCAGCTCGTCCGTATCGCCCTCAATAGCCGCCACCGTTGTCGCCAGGTCGACCGCGGTCACGCCGATCAGCGTTTGCGTGGCGTTGTGCTCGGTGTCTTGGGCGGTGTCCAGCGCGTCGAAGCTGGTGATCGTGCCCGTGAAAGCCGTTTCCGCGTTGTCCGCCGCGCTGCTGCTGCTGCTGAACTCCACCGCGTCGACTTGCAGCTTGTCGGTCGAGTACAGCGAGTCGTAGACGTTGGCCGGCATCACCACAAAGTCACGCCACACGGGCAACGCGCCAGACTCCTGCACCATCACCCGCAGCGGGCCAAGCGTCGCCGTGTCGGTGGTGTCCAGGTCCACGTCGTACTCGCCCAGTTCGTCGTGCGTGGCCGCGCTGCTCTCGTTCTTCTGGGCGTAATCGCCGCCGGCCTTGCTGAGCCGCACGTCCGCCTGGCTGATGGTCAGCGACGTTTCCGCGGTCACGCCGTTCGTGCTGTCGACGAACGGGCCGAGTTTGACCGTTACAGCCGTGCTTTGCTTAAGCGGCGTATCGGCAAGAGCCGCCGAGCCAACCGCCAGAGCCAGGATGCAAGCCACAAATCTCATCGTCTCATCCCTCGGTAATGGTGCATCAGGACCGGAATGCTGGTGCTGGGGCCGCCGCCACCCGCGGGAGCCACACTGATCGTTGTGGAACGGCCCGAACTGGTGGACCACGCCCACGTCGACGGGTCGTCGCTGGTTGCGCTGGTGGTCGCCTTGGTCGCGAACGCCACGGACGCGTTGTTGGAAGAACCGCCCGTGTTGTGCTCGTTCTGGTTGGCCGTGTAGCCGGTGGGCCAAGTCGAGACCGTGGCTCCCGCCCCGTTGCCGGCGGTGGCAATGAACAGGTAATCAGCCGCCCCGCCCGTGGGCGTCAGGCTCGGCGGGTTGTCCGTGTCGGAATAGGCCGCCTCCACGTCCGCCAAATCCTGCGTCCACTCGGCCGCCAGAATGCGGAACGCGATGGCCGCCACGTCCTCGTTGGCGTCCTGCGTGAACGCGACCGTGGCGCCCTCGCTGCCGGTCGCCTTCTTCGCGAACACCGCGTGAACGCTGGCCCCCGAATCCAGCCGCGTGAAGCCGGTCAGCGCCGGGTTCTGGTTGCCGCCGTCGTTCGCCCAAACCACGATCAGCAAGTCATTCGCCGCGATGGTGCCCGGCAGGTTAATGTTGCCCGCCGTGAACGCCGTGCTAGTCGTGACCGGCGTGCCGGTAATCGTCGGCGCGGCGGCCATCGCGTGGCCCGCCAGCAGCAATGCGGCAATGATCGCTAGGCTTCTCACGAACCCACCTCCAGGGTTAGCGTGCTGCCGCTGCGGAGGTTGATCCGCTGGGCTCGGCCGTTGCGCACCCGATAGGCCGCCATCACCGCGTACGTGTTGTCGTTCCAGACCTGATAGATGCAGGTCCACAGGTAGTTGCGGGTCGGGTCCCAGTACATGCCGGCCAGCTCGGTCGCCTTCGGCCGGGAGTTGTCCCAAGTGAACGGGCCTTCGGGGAAGTCGATAATCTGCGGCGTGCAGGTCCAGGCGTCGCGCGTGCCCTGCGCCACCTCCGCCAGCTCGGCCTCGCTGTAGATGTAGACCCGCCGCAGCGGGATCGCGTCCGGGTAGTCTTGCAGCCCGGTGTCCGATTGGTGGTCGCCGCGGTTGCCGTCGCTGTTCGCCGAGTAAAAAAGCGTAGTGTCGCCCACCCCGAAATACTTGAGCGAGCCCGAGTCTCCTTGCGCGCGATAGTCCATCGTGTTGTTGCACTGCCGCACCGGGAAGAACAGGCCGACGCCCGGAACCCAGGCGGGGTTGCCGCAGTCGCCCGCGATCCATCGCCCGTCGAGCGGACCGGAACCCACCGGGTCTCGCCAGAAGTCCAGATAACCGTTCTCCACCCGCGCGATCGTGTAATCGGGCGAGCGTGGCGCCGGCTGGCCCGGCAGGTTGTACGGGTGATCTAGCAGCACCTGGATCTTGTCGCCGCCGGTCGCCTCGTAGTCGAGCGCCGACATTGCCGGCCCGCTCGGCGAGTTGAGCACGTCGTAACCGCCCCGCCCCGCGCCGATGGTGCGGCCGTCGCAGTAGGAGTCCGCGAACGGTTGGGGGATACGGCAGAAGCCCGACCCGAACGCCTGGCAGCGGTGGAAGTTGTCGTTCTCGTCCACGCCCGGATCGTCCATATTGATGAGCGTCTCGGCGCCGGTCTCGATGTTGTGCGTGCACATCCAGGTGCCGACGTAGCCCGAGCGGTAGGACTTCCGGCCGCTGCACAGCACCGTGTCCGCGTCCAGCCAGATGACGCCGCCCGGCCCGATGTTCTCGACCGACGCGAACGGGTCGGCGTTGCGGCCCGTGTAGACCAGCAGCGGCCACGACTCGTAGTCGTCTTCCGGGTCGCCCAGTCCCTCGGCCGGCTCGGTGTACTCCACAACCAGCTTGCTGGAGCCGTGGCGGTTGATCCACTTCCCGTTGAGCAGGTCCCAGCAGCCGCCCAGGGCGCGGGTGGTCGTGCCCTCGATGTTGTTGATCGGCACGCGGTAGCCGCCCACGAGCGTGAGCGTCACCGTCTGCGAGGAGCAGGGCGTGGCGAGCAGGCAGGCGAGTAGGGCGGCTAGTTTCATTTTCCGGCGACCAGAGCGGCGATCAGGGACGTGACGAAGGCGACCGTCGCCCCCGCCACCGCGCCCCATGTTGAAGACTTGACCTGCAGCGACCGGATATCGGTGTGCAGCGTGATCAGCCTCGCGTCGGTCTTGAGCGCGTAGGCTTCCTGCTTCTGCTCCACGCGCTCGACAGCGCGGTTCAGGCGTTCCAGTTCGTGCAAAACTAACCTGCGATCGTCACGCCATTCGGTTTCGGGATCAGCCATCGGCGTCGCCTTCCTTTCTGCTCTCCCGCTCCTCCCGCTCTTGCATCTCTCGCAGGCGAATTTCGGCCACCGTGCGGGTGAACTGAACGTCGAATAGCGTCCGCAGGTTGATCCCCAGCAACGCCATCCCAAAGAGGAATACGAGGATAAAGACGTGCCCCGGCTCGACGTTGTGAGGGAATCCCATCGCGGTCCTGGTGGTTTAAGCTGGCCCCGCCGCCAGCGTGGCACGCCGACGGCGGGGCCGATCCTAAGGCGTCCTCTAGTAGCCGCGGGCGAATCCACGCACGGCGCCACGCGCCGCCGCGAAACTACGCCGCACGGGCGCGAACGCGAACGGCTGCCGGTGCACCCGGTTCTGCAGGATCACCGCTTGCGGCTGCACGACGAACTGCCGCTGCACGTACGCCTGCTGGGGCGCCACGAACGCCGCGCCGTACGCCGGCCCAGCGTTGAAGCTGAACACAGTGCCGCCGCCTGCAGCCGGGCCGCAAGCCTGCGACGGAGCAGCAACCAGAAACAGCGCGGCGAGCACAACGGCCGCTGCCCCCATCAATCGAAGCTTAGACACAGATCACCATCCTTTCGGGGTTGGAACTCTCGAGGTCGTTTGCCCTCTACGCTCAACGCTCTTGCCGGGGTTATCCGCCCGGCGACGGGTTATTGGTCGGCGGCAGCCTGTCTGGCGGCGAGCCACTCCTGGTAGAGCCCCCCCAGCGCCGCTTGCTGCTGGTCGGGTGGGAGCGGGCCGGCAGGGGGCATGGTTCCGTCAATGATCCGCTCGGCCGCCCGGTTGAGCTGCTGGGGCGTGGCGGCGTCGAAGCTGAACCCGCCCTGAGCCTGGTCGCCGGTGTGGCACTTCGCGCAAGACTGGTCGAGCTGCGACGGCTGCGGCGCGGTGAAGTTGAACGCGGGCGGCTGGTAGCCCTGCTGAGGGGCGGGCTGCGGCGGGCACGTCGGGCACGCCTGCTGGGGCGCGGCGTAGTGCTGCGGCTGCTGGACCGGCTGCGGCGTGATCGTGGTCTTGGTGGTGGTTGTCGTCGTGGTCGCCTTGAAGTGGGCCAGGGCCTGCTCGAACGCCTGGGCGTACAACGCCTCCTGGCGCACCGGGGCGCCCACGAAGTAGTTCACGATCGGCGCTTGGTAGACCGGCTCGGCGATCACCTTCTGCACGACGGCCGCCTTGTGGTGCACCACCGGGGCACAGACCGCCGACACACAGCGGCCGCCTGCGCGGCAAGAGTTGGCGGTCAGCGCCACCAGTAGGACCACAGCGAGAGCGCAACCGGCCCTCCAGTTCATCGGGTACATGTCTTACGCTCCCATTCGATGTCGCGTG